TTTGCAAAATATGCCATAGTTTTACAGAGCAGGTTGGGACACCACAGAGAAAGGGGAGACCTCACAGAGCTTATCGTGGAAATGGTTCTCTTCAGCATTAAAGGCCTTTTTACATGGTAGCCTGAGAGCTGCAGCCTGAGAGGATGCACTGTCTTCTGATGCAAGAATAATCCCCTCATTTGAGCTCTGTATTTCAAACCTTTGAAGTACCAAAGTGCTTCTTTGGTGACCAGCATTGTCTCCTGCTGGTCTTGATGAAGTCAATGCTCATTCAGGCAGAACATTCAAAACTTTTCTCTAGGTGTTCCGCAGAGACCTTATTCATGGTGCCTTTGTCCCACTGTAGACCTTTGGCTTCAATAACTGTGACATGATTTGGTGCCTTTTGCAGCCACAAAGAAGAACACGTACAGTATTTTGTGCGCTGTGCTCCACGCAGTGTCACACCTCTCTTTTTTTTTTGTGTGTGTGTTTCAGATTATGCTTCAAAACAGCAAAGGGAGATTTCTCTGCGGGGGGGTTCTCATCCATCCGTCTTGGGTCCTAACGGCGGCACACTGCGTTGAGGCACAAGTGGGGCTCAAAGTAAGAATTGGTAAGGAAAAAAAATCTATCCTTGTTTTTTTCATATGTAACTCTTTCATTCCCAAGGTTTATAATCTCAGGAGAAAGACCAGCAGGTTGTGAAGACAAAAGTCCTTCTTGGTTGTAGGAGCAGGTTGTCTAGGAAGTATTTAATATGCACCTTAGCAGGAAACAAAAAAGTTTAGTAAAAGTTCTGCTTTCATTTGAGCCACTCTCAGCCTCAGTGTGGAAGTGAGCTGATGTCATCTGTGCACTGCCTCTTGTCTATAAGGTTGAAAGACTGGGTCTCTTCTGCTTTTTTTTTTTCTGGTGATGAAAGTGTTCAAGGTCATCCCAATCCTGAAAAAAAATATGTTTTGATCCCCGGAGGGGAACATCATGGTGCCTCTTCCTGCCTCTTCATACATTTGAACACCTTTAGGTCAGAGAGTTTCAGCAGAGAAGGAGAGGTGCTGCAGAACAGCAACACTGCCTTTAGGGCTCTGCTGCTCTTAAGCATGAGAACATCTCTGCCAAGGACAGAACTGCTCATGAATTAACAGCCAAAAATAATTGTTCTGTTCACGCTTAAGTAGAATTTTTTTTTTAATTAGAGTTTTCTATCTACTATTGCTGACAGAGGCTCAGCTGCTTTCTTTTTGCGTTAGTGAAAAGATAGGCTGTTCCCAGTAACTGTGGAAAGTCTTGCAAATGTATTGTGTGTATACATAGCCTTGGAAATATATTAAAGTCTTGCAAATATGTTGTGTGTATACATAGCCTTGGAAATATATTGTCTGTATACGTAGCCTTGGAAATACATTGTCTGTATGTGTGTTCCACACATGCTGGGGATGTGCAAATGTTTGAGAACAGAGATGATAAGGCATAAGGATAAGAGGCTAAGGATGTGTTTATGAACATCCTCCATTGTTCAACATAAAGGATGAATGGAAAAGCATCTGATAGACCCTTGGGTCCTCTTAGTGCCAGAACATTCACCTCTTCCACAGAGGGACATCAAAGTAGAAGTGTGTGTTGTAGTTTGGAAATACACAAACAGACTACACATCTCCAAGCACTTCCACTTACTAGTAAGTCATTTTCTTGCCTTTTACGTGTTGTAGTTTGGAAATACACAGACTGCACATCTCCAAGCACTTCTACTTACTAGTAAGTCATTTTCTTGCCTTTTAAGTGTTTGCCAATATGTCTGCTTAATTTTAGTGAGGCCCAAGAAGAAGAAACCTGTTCAGTTTGCTTGGTAAAGGATCTTGGAATGTTTTAGGGGAAAAGCAGCATCAGATGTGGTGTTTGAACATTCTGCAGGACTAGATGTAGCTTTGAGTGTAACTCTAAGGGCAGAGGTCAGTGGGGAAGATGGTAACAAGGGGAAGTATTGAGGTTGCAAATATATTCCTCCACTCTGACCTCGTTCTGCAGGTCTTGGTAGAGATCTGTGCAGTCTGACAAGCTTTCGGGTGGGAAATGGTAACGAGGGGAAGTATTGAGGTTGCAAATAAATTCCTCCACTCTGACCTTGTTCTGCAGGTCTTGGTAGAGATCTGTGCAGTCTGACAAGCTTTCGGGTGGGATTGCTGTGCCCTCTCTGCAGCAAAGAAAGGAGGAGTGGGATCTGTCAAGAGGGTCTTGTGCTGTCCAAAATTTTCAATGGGTGAAGATAAACTTGAGAACCCTGATTTAAAAAGATTTTTCTTTTTTTGGCTTAAATGAAACTTAAGAGACATCTCACAGACAAATTTGGGGTGTGTTCACAGAGTAATTTGTAGTGTAAGGGTGATCAGCAATAGGGGCTTGAAGTTCTTTCTCTTTCCCAGCTTCCCCAAAGGACTTCCTTCTTAACAGAGGAAGAAGCAACTGTGTGGTCATGGACTGAGACTGCTTCTCATTCAGCCCTGAGCAATGGTGCTGTGGTGAGATGGACACCACAGAGGGGTTTTTACTGTGGTGGTGGGATGTGTGCAGGGCTGAGCTGACCACAGCCTGGGACTTGACAAAAAGAGAAGAGATTCTTCTCTGAATGACACTCCAGGTCAAGCAGAAGGGAACCTTTTTAAGGCACAGCCTAACATCACATGGTTGGTCTTTTACATGCATCTTTTGGCCATTTTACTGCCACCAGAAAAGCAGTTCTCATTGGAAAAACATGTGCTCCAAACCCTAGAGACGTCCAGTGAGATACACGGAGCAGAGTTTTGAATGGAGACACTGCCGTGTGTGGGGACAGGCGTGGGCTCTGTGACAGTGATGAAGGTGTTGGCACTGAGACCTCAGAGGTGACACTCGACCTGCCTCTGCCAGGCTGGGGCACCCAGCACCGTGCAGCTCTCTGACAGCCCTCCCTAAGAGCAAATCTGGAGGGGAACTTTGCCCTCCTGAGCTTGGGGAGCAGTCCTGCAGCAGGACTCAGCTGGCTTTTTAGTGACAGAAGTGAAAAGTTGAATCTCAGAGTAGCTGAAGTTTTGGGGGATGGATTTGAGAACAACCCAATTTTCCTGTTTGTGGCTCTTGTTCCTGCATCTCCAGCTTAAAACCATCCAGAAGTGTGTTCAGAGCTCCAAGAAAATAGAGCAGATAGGTGAATGTAATAGTCAAATTCAAAATACTGTCTCTCCCTTCAGGGAACGGGTCTCACACTCCCTTGTTCATGCAAAGCTTCATAGTTCATATATTTTTTTTGCCAGCAACAAGATTACGGTGCTCCTTACTGTGTAGAAGAAACAAGATGCATTTCATAGAGCCTGTAGGTTCAGTACATCCAGGTGTGGGTAGGACTTCTGGAATTTGAAATATATTACAGAATCACAGAATCTTCTAGGTTGGAAGGGACCTTAAAGATCATCTTGCCCAACCGTCAACCTAATAACTGAGAAAGGAAAAATTCATGACAAGAAGTCCAAAGGGTCTTCTCCTGGGCTGGTGGAGCTGTTGCTGGACGAGCACCAGAGCGAAAGCTGTCACCCTCTTGCTCATACCTGTCTCAGGACGCAGCTCATGGCCATGCTTGTAGGTAGAGCAGGTGAAGCCTGGCAGAAGGTGTGCTCCTACACGACTAGGAGACTCCTCCTCAGAGGAGATGATCTGACAGTGCGTGAGTCCAAGGGTATTTCCCAGGCCCAAAGCAGAGTTTAGTGACTGTGACAACAGGACTAAACCCCTGTCCCTCATCTACCAGTCAGCCCTCAGCTACAGCAGCTGGAGAGTGGGTAGCAGGAGGTGTGCTTCGAGGACACTATCACCACAAAAGAGAGAGGTCACGAGAGCAGAAGAAAAAACAGATTTATGAGTGTTGTCTTGGTAACAGCAAGTCCCTCAGGCTCTGGTACTACTGCTCACTGCAGGCACATCGGAGCAGCTTCAGCCTCCTGCTGTGGATCATGGCTTTTGGGTTTGTATCTGGAGGGATTCAACTAAGACTGAAAGAAGGCAAAAGTTAACGGGGGGGGTGGGTGAACAAGTTTGAAGGATGATATTGTGAAAAGCACATTTGAAAAGGTGGTGATAAAGAGCAACTTCCAACTCACCTATCCAGAGACAGAGAAGGAAAGGACACTTGTGTCACACAGGCGCAGAGGTGAGGTGTCAGCCTGGATGTCCCACCACCTCGTGTGCTTGGACCCGAGCCTGCCAGCAGCTTGCATGTGCATGGTGGAGAGTTCTCCAGAGAAGTGTTTTTATCAAGTACATACTGCAGTTGGCTTTGGTATGAAGCTTAAATTAACTGAGAGCACAGCTCAGAAACGTGACAGCCACCGATAATTATTCTTGGGGCTGTCTCTTCACAGCCTGTCAGGTCTGTCTCTCTCTTTCCTTTTCCAGTGTATCACAAATTACTTGTTTCTTGCCTTTTTTCAACTTGCTTTCCTGCTTACTGTTCCAGAGCTGCTTGGCCATGATCGTGTAGCACAAGTAACAACTGAGAAGACTTCAGTAGTCAAAAATTCTTTAAAATACAGACTTCAGAAAGGAATAGTCTTACCAGTCAGTCTTTGTCCTATAAACCCTGAATTTAATTCATTCAGGCAGCAGTTGTACAGTCAAAGCTCCTGTGTGCTTCCTCTCCCAGCTTCTGATGCTGACACCAAGAAGGTTCTCCTGAAGAAGATCTCTCCAGTTGCACAATCGTAGTGCGACACGAACACAACAGGGCATTTCAGTTTCTCAGCTGATGACCCTAGATCTAGGACGCTAATTAATTTAGTACTGTATGTATTCATGATTTAGGAAGATGTGGAGAGTTTGTCCATCTAGTAGGAACTCCGTTAACCTGTAACGTGAAATGATCAGATGTCTGTATTTCGAGGGAAGTAAGAACATGAAGTTCAGCCTCAAGGCCTGGTGTAATCCCAGTGCCTTGATGTTCAGGGTGGAGGAGGATTCCTCAGCCCCTGTCACCTCCTTCTTTGCTCTTCCAGGTAAATTTCACCGTCTCCGTACCGAGGCCGAGGAACAAACCATTTGGGTCGATAAGAGCGTGAGCCACCAAAATTACAGCAAGGAGAGCTCCGATAACGACATCGCCATGCTGCACCTGGCCGAGCCCGTGATGTACAACAAATACTCTCTCCCCATCTGCCTCCCCAGCCGTGAGCTGGCCGAGCAGGAGCTGACGCGGAGCGGGAAGCAGATGGTGGTCACCGGCTGGGGCAGCACGAGTGACGTTAACAACAACTACTCCACTTTGCTCAGTTTCATTGAAATCCCCATCGTTCCCCGGAACGAGTGTGCCCAGGCCATGAGGTTTGCCATCTCCGACAACATGCTGTGCGCTGGGAGCTTAGGAGACAAGAAGGATTCGTGCAGCGGGGACAGCGGAGGCCCCATGATCACCAAGTACAAGGACACCTGGTTTTTGGTAGGGCTGGTGAGCTGGGGAGAAGGCTGTGGGAGGAAGGAGAAATTTGGTGTCTACACCAAAGTCAGTCAGTACCTTGAGTGGATCCAGCAGCACATAGATGGGATGTCAGCTTCTTGGAAGGGCTGATCCTGGTGCTGAGAGTCTGGGATACGGTGGCTACGGGGTAGTGACAGCGTGTGGTGTAATGTACTGTCACATCTTCAGTATTAAATATTGAGTATGTGTTAACCTCGTCTACTGTTTTCCTTGGTACCTTTGGGGTTTTTTTTTACTTTTTATTTTCTTTTTTATATTGATTACACTGAGTAGTTTCCATGTAATGTACTGTCACATCTTCAGTATTAAATATTGAGTATGTGTTAACCTCGTCTACTGTTTTCCTTGGTACCTTTGGGGGTTTTTTTTACTTCTTTTTATTTTCTTTTTTATATTGATTACACTGAGTAGTTTCCAGGTTATGTTGTTTATTTGTATCATGGTCCTACTTAGACTTTACAGGCAAGAAATGATACCCTGTATGAAATAATACCGAGATGCTGTGCAGCATTGCAGAAAATAAGGTAGTCCATGGTCAGCTGACTCCATCATTGAAGCTTAAAATGACTTAAATGGTTGGAGGGGACAGGAGAAAGCATTTTAGAAGTCAACATAGTGAGATAGTTCTGTCATTTCAGCTTTACCATATGACCCACAGTAACTGCTTTGGTTTGCTCTTAATTGGTATCATTTTTCTTTCAACACAGTGAAATGCTAATGGTGCCAATGGCATCACTGCCTCCACTCATTCCCCACTTGCTCCATTGCTCACAGGTTGAGGTGATCCAGCAGGTCACTAGAACTTCTTCTTATTTTCTGTTCCTTGCACACTCGATGCCTGATTTTACCCCTCCAGACTTCCTTAAAAGTCAATGGCAATTCTGCTGGGACTAAAAAACAAGGGGTTTAATTCCAAGCTCTTTCATGTTCTGTTTGTTCTCTGGCCTGTAAACGTCTTCTAATTATCAAGCTAAGCAAAGGCTTCTGTTCATTCCTAGTCTGGTGAACACACTCAGCTGCAGGCTGTATGAGCTTTACTACACTGATATATTTGTGTGTGTGTTTGCATCTGAACCTGTATGTCTGTGTGTACATCAGTAGATAAAAGAAAGATACGTAGCACCAATAAGTTCATAGGAAGTAGCAATTGTCAAAATCAAGTTTAATAGAATCACAATTTATGCTTGTTTTTAATCTTAGCACCTAAGCCTGCTAAATATAATTAATCTTACAGAAAAAAGGCGAAACCAGCTCTGCTGTAGCGGTAACGTGTTTCCAGCGTCTCAGTCAGGATTTGGACCCGTGTTTGGATCAGTGAAGAAAGTCAGGCTGCTCTGGTGAGGAGATTGTTAAATGGAAAGAAAGCTCAGGTACAACAAAACCGTGTTAGGATTTGTAAGAAATTTAATGTGGTGTCAGCAAAGAAGTTTAATACCTCTTAAACCTGTAGACTTAGTCTGACTGACTTATAAACTGATGATGTGCTTATTAAGCAAGTGCTGAAGTTGATTTGTCCCTTCCAACCCCATGTGATTCTGTGATTAAAGAAGTAACAGGCGAAGGGCTTCACGCTGGAGGTCAGTTGAAACTGAAGTCAGCCATCTCTCTGTGTCTCTGTCTCTCTTTTTCTCTTATTTCCCCTCCCCTTTTCTATTTGGGCCTGGATGTAAGGAATAATGAAGGTTAATGAGTAATGCTTTGAGCCTTCCAGCAGGGCCTGCTCCAAGAACGGGTGCTTCTGAGAAGGCTGCCGTTGCTGGACATTGAATTACGAGGAGAAACATAATTGTGTTCAAAGCCAGTAAAACAGGGGTCTAATTAAAGGCCTAAATTGTGATGTCAGTGCATAGCTGTGACTATTCCAGGGCGGTATTTGCCTTCCTGCAGGTGGCTGCTGGGGATGCCTCTGCACACTCAGGGCTCTGTGTGTTTCAGCAGATGTTTACAGAGCAGCCTGTGTATTTTCCGGACCAGTCGGTCTTATCTACTCAAAGGTGATGGAGTGTCAGGAATCTGCCCTTAGAAATTCCAGATTTTCCTGAAGAAACGTGTTGCAAAGAAGTGGCTTTTATTGTTGGAGGATGTTATTAAGGGATTTTTAATTTTTTTTAATGCATACATGTGTGTGTGGAAACATACACAATTTTTTTCTGATTTTGGATTTCAAATGTGTTCCATAGACTCCAGAAGGTTGTCTCTCCTCTGTCAATATTCGTGTGGAAGCATACACAATTTTCTTCTGATTTTTGGATTTCAAATGTGTTCCATAGAATCCAGAAGGTTGTCTCTCCTCTGTCAATATTTGTGACTGGTTAATGATCAACCTCTTGACCTCATGGCTGTTCCTGGTGCGCATCCAAATCCCTCTCCTGTCTTCCCCTAAAAAAATAAAAGAAAAAAGTGAGTATAATTGCACGGTTCTGTTTAAAGTGAAGGCATTCTGTATCCTGTGGTTTTGGGAAAAAAAAATAATACAAGTAGCAAAGAGATATGTGCCGTCGATTCCTGGAAAATTATTTAGCCTGGGAAGGTAACATGAAGAAATAGAGACTTCTGTTGTGTAACGTGTGCTGCCAGGTACGTGGTGGATGGTTTCCTCACTGGGGTGTGCACGTACGTCCTAAATGACAAGACCATCAGTAATTAGCAGCTGCTGGTGAGTGTGCAGCTCACACCTCGGCCCGGCTCCTTCGCCGATTCAACGAGGCTGTCGCTGGAACCGGCTCCTGCTCAGTTTGGGCCTGATCCACGGCTCCCACCTTCCTCACAGCGTGTGTGGTACCTCCGTGGGCTTTGGGTCAGACCCTGTGCCACAGCCCCAGCTGGGTCACCCTCTGCTCCTCGCTGGGTGGGCGGTTGGGGTTCCTCTTGTAGTGGTGCATGGCTGTGGCCCAGAGAAACCACGCACATCAGATCAAAATGAACCGGGTAGAATTTGTTTTCTTTGTCCCTTCTCTTGTCCTCTTGCTTCTACTTCTTCATCTTTTTTTTTGCAAGCTAATTCAGCCTTGCTGTTTTTGTGACAATACAGGCTAATTCAGCCTTGCTGTTTTTGTGACAATATACCAATTTTGTTCTTCTTTCCCCTCTGAAGGAAACCAGCAGGACGTCAGAGGATTCTGAATGCTGACTGAAATGGAGAGCAGTTCCTCACTTGTGGTGTTTCTCCTACTGATGTGCTCCATCAACAGCAGCTGTCCCTTTTCATATTCAGGTAGATACTTCTGATTTACGTTTTTAACTTAATTGTCCTTTTGTGGCAATCTTGGCATTTAAACTGGAACTACGTTCCTTTTCTGAACACTAAGTCCTGTGAGTTGAAGAAGCACTTCCTGAAATGCACAACAAAAAATGAATTTTTGTATATACATTTCCAAGGGAAATCAGCCTTTCTTAACTTCCTACCTAGACCACTGTCCTGTTGAAAATTATTCTCCTTGTGACATTACACAGAATCACAGAGTGATATGGGGTTGGAAGGGACCTCTGGAGATCATCCAGTCCAACCCCCTGCCAAAGCAGGCCCACCCAGAGCAGGTTGCACACGAACGTGTCCAGGTGGGTTTGAATGTCTCCAGAGAAGGAGACTCCACCACCTCTCTGGGCAGCCTCTTCCAGGGCTCTGTCACCCTCAAAGTGAAGAAGTTCCTCCTCATGTTTAGATGGAACTTCCTATGTTCAAGTTTTGTGTCCAGTTTTAGGCACTTTCAACGTGTGTTCTCAGACCTCATGTTGATTTTGCTACAACAGCTACACGAGGTTTGGAAGTGGCCACAGGGAGCTTTAGAACGTACAGGATCTCACCCCTCATTGTGTCAGTCCGTGCAGAGGGGGAAGAGCAGAAGCAGAGTGGTGTCTGCCAACCAGAAAGCTTTACAACAGGCAGAGCTCCTACAGGGGTACCTACTTACAGGCCTTTAAAGATGACCCCAGAACTCGGGGGTGGTGGAGGACAGTCACTGATGTATGTAAAAGGTATTTTCCCCGTTACAGCAGGATCTCTCCAGAGCTTTTCTCAGCCAACAGGATTCGTGGGTTGTTTCTAATTGCTGAGGAATGATGCAATTGAATATTATTCTAGAATTTTGGCCATTGCTAAGGGCACCCATCCTGCAACCGCAGAGAAACGCGTGTCTTTATGGTCCATCTCTAGAAGTGTGTTCTTTGCCGGAGGGTTTTGACTTGTCTGGGACACCAACCCCTGGCTAGGAAAGCAGTTCTGATCAGTGAACCCCTGTACGAATTTTCCTTTGCCAGGATTAGGAAGTGAGTTTTCTTCTTAAAACACTTCTTAGCAGCAGTTTTTCAGTCTTGTCAGATGGATGGGCTTTGGATATAGGGCCACAATTCTGGAGATTTAAGGCAAAAACCTCCATCTCCTCCAAACAGTGCTGCCACGTGGTACCAGTGGGTGAGCCCTCATTTTCCTTCAGAGTTTCCTGGCTGGAAAATCCTGGGAGCGCTGCCCTTCAGCAAAGACTTGCTATGGAGCAGCAGGGGGTGTGGGGAGGACCCTACTGCCATATCCCTCTTCTGGCCACTCCTCCCTTCGTTTATTGGCAGTAACAGCTCTTTAGACATTGGAGGGGAGGGCAGACAGCTTGGGGACACGAAGGACAAAACGGACACTTTATCTATTTCTTTTAATAAGGGAGCGGTGTCCGTCCTGTTGTGGCCCCAGCAAGTACCAAAGAAGCTGCAACCCTCAAGAGTCTTGTGGAATAAAAAATGATTTCTGCACCAGTCTGCAAGTCTCAGCAGTGGGTCTTTTGATCCACCAAAAGAAAGCTTTAACTACTGGTGTATTTTGTTGGAACACGTAGTAATTGTATTTTCCTTTGGGCTCTTTACATAGATTCCTGCTCCCCTTTTTTATCATAGAATCATAGAATGGTTTGGGTTGGAAGGGACCTCAAAGATCATCCAGTTCCAACCCCCCCTGCCCTGGGCAGGGACACCTCCCACCAGACCAGGTTGCTCAAGGCCCCATCCAGCCTGGCCTTGAACCCCTCCAGGGATGGGGCAGCCACAGCTTCTCTGGGCAACCTGTTCCAGTGTCTCACCACCCTCATAGTAAAAAATTTCTTCCTGAGATCTAATCTGAATCTTTTTTCTTCCAATTTAAAACCGTTTCCCCTTGTCCTATCACTGCGCTTCCTGGCAAAGAGTCCTTCTCCAGCTCTTCTGTAGGCCCCCTTCAGGTATTGAAAGGCCGCTATAAGGTCTCCCCGGAGCCTTCTCTTCTCCAGGCTGAACAATCCCAGCTCCCTCAGCCTGTCTTCATAGGAGAGGTGCTCTTATATTGTTTACCCAAGAGGATGCGTGTGACTGTGACCTGTGACTGTGATGATGCCCCTTCGTTGTCTTCCAGTATCAACTGTTGGATTTTGTTTTTCTAGTGTTTCTGAGAAGAGAGGAAGCACACAAGGTGCTGAGAATCCATAAACGTGCTAACTATTTTCTAGAAGAGATTCGTCCAGGGAACTTGGAGAGAGAATGCAATGAGGAGAAGTGTTCGTTTGAGGAGGCGAAGGAGATCTTCCATTCGCAGGAGAAAACGGTGAGAAACTTTATTTTAGGAAAAATAGATGAAAGTTAAGAGTGAGCTGTACGTAGTCCTTCCCAAGCCACCTGCCATGGCTCTGGCAGGGGTTCCCTCTGGATTCTGCAGCTTGGTAGTCAGGACGGGTCACTCACAGCACCCACGGGCAAGTGCTCAGTTCTGTAAATGTTAAACACAACTCCTTAGAAGCATCCAGAGCCTCTTTCTGTGAGATCCGAAATCAAGTGACCTGATTCTGACGTTTTCAGGGGCCACTTGCTTGATCAGACCCCTCCAACATTTAGTTTTCATCCCAGTACAGTCCAGTTTGTGGCTGGTCTGTGCTACAACACAAAAGTGAGCTGCCGGGTGATGATCAGGAGATCTGCTCTGAGGATGTATTTTATGGTTCTAATCAAAATGTTAATTTACATGCACCCAAAAAAACCCCCTTTTTTCTGAATTACGTCTTCAGTAACCACAATGAGCACTCATTGACTGTTTTCTTCATTTGTGATTTCTTCCTGCAGATGGAGTTTTGGTTCAATTACAAAGGTAAGTAAAAAAAGGAATTTCTAAAAAAATCTATTTCTCGTGTCCCTTCTGGGTACAAAGAACTCTGTGGCAGTTTAAAGCTTCTCTTAATTCCTGGGATTACACTCTGCCTCGTTTCTTCTTCTTAGGTTTAAATCCATGTATTACAAATCCCTGCAACAATGGTGGAGTCTGCAAAATAAGACACTACAATTACTTCTGCATCTGCCCCCCAAAATTTGGAGGAGAAAACTGTGAAAAAGGTGAGTCCGGGAACAGACACGTTGCCATTTGTTGTGAAGGAGGGATTAAGGCTGGAATTTGCTCCTTGGATGCTTGAGCTGGACCTTTGGACAGGCTCTGGCTGAGGGTATGGGTGGGGACTGTCTCTGTGTGACACACAGCAGGTCGGTTGTTGCAGAGTCCTACACTCAGACAGGGTGTTGTTATGGGACATGTTGGGGCACCGCCACCCTGGGAAGGGGTGTTGTGACAGCGGCTGTAGCTACAGCTCTGTGCAGTTGGCACCACCTCCTGTCACGCAGCAGCTACAGCCTGGGCCTTGCACTCACCTGTGACATATAGCCATGGCCTGTCTTCCCCAGGAAAGGACAGGGAAATACCCCTTTTTATCACTTCTGAGTGACAACATGTCTCCTGCACAGACACCTGTGCTGGAGACCATTTGTGGAGAGGCTCTGTTCTCTTTTTGATTTTATTGAGTAAACGCATCAAACAAAGTAGCCAAAGCTTACTGTGAACAAAAAAAAAATATTGTATTTATCTTGTAATCTCTGAGTGACAAAGAATGAAGCAGAAAAGCTGCCCATCTCTTACTGGATTTTTGATCCCATGAAATACAATGACTGAGGCACGAAATCACAGCAAAAGCCAAACTGACGTGCAAACTATGGATCAGAAGTTGTTGTCCACCTCCACCTTTTCTTTTTCCAGTGAAGCAATTAGACATGATTGTTCTTTTAACCTAACAAAAAAACCCTCAGTCAATTTCTCACAGACTTGGCCCCCACCAAAAAGGCCAGTACTTTAAATCCATCATGATATAAAAGATCAGATGTGCGGATGGTTCAAAAAACTGGGTGCATTTAGAAGTCTTTGCTCTTCCAGGCATTTTCTTGCCCCTGCTCTCCAGGGGCCCAGCTGTGGCCTCAAGACAAAGCTGGCAAGTAAGAAAATGGTTCGAACAGGCACCAATCCACAAACCAGCGTGGTTCTCTGCAGCTGTGAGAGGTGCCTCCTCCTATTTACCTACGAGATGTCAGCAGATTGTTTCAGAGCGGCCGAGGGCCCAGCTGTGGCCTCGAGACAAAGCTGGCAAGTAAGAAAACAGTAGGAACAGGCGAACGACAACAGGCATAAGGCACTAATCCACAAACCAGCGTGGTTCTCTGCAGCTGTGAGAGGTGCCTCCTCCTATTTACCTACGAGATGTCAGCAGATTGTTTTTTTTCCTTATTTTATTTCACATTAAGACTAGTGCTGGAAGCTGTGCGGGGTCCCTGCCTGCCGGTAACCCAGCGAATGCCCATGTGTTCCCATGGCAGAAAAGCTGGAATGCTGGTACCGGAACGGGGGGTGCTGGCAGTACTGCAGGGAGGGCAGCGGCGCCTTTCAGGTGGCGTGTTCCTGCGCCGGGGGTTACCGCCTGCACGAGGATGGGAAGAGATGTGTCCAAGCAGGTAAAGCCGAGTCTTTTCGCTTGTTGCAGAAGATGCTGTAGCTGCTGCAGCTTGACTTAGTGTATGGAAAAGATCTGTCTTATCTTTATTTTAAATGTTAAGGGTCTTCTCAATAAGGTGTCTCTCCAAAGCAGTGAGCACGTGCTGGGTAGAGGGGCAGCAGCACAGTCCGGGGTGGGCCCTTTCCTTCTTTTACGAAGCAAAACCAGAGGGTTGGGAGGGGAGGGGACATCACCAGGGTCTTTAAAACCTTGGGTTAAGGTGTCCTGTCCCAAGGGTTTTGGGGGAGAGAGAGCCCGCTCCTGGAGTAGCCAGCTGTGGCTGATGCCTGTGGCACAGAAGAGGCACAGCTGTGGGCCGTTTGTTGGTAATTAACTCAACACACCTGGCTCTGCTGATGGTCAAGTGGAGTCTGACATCAAGGTGTCAGCTGTTCCTGGGTTCTTGCGGGAGGGTTGGATCCCATTCGTGGGCAGGAAAAGTGCTGCTTCTGTGTTGGAGTGTGATGGGCACCGGGCACCCTGAACTCACAGCATTATTTCTGCCTCTCCCCCTCCAGCCCCGTTTCCCTGTGGCCTGGTTAAAGCCCGGCTGGCGCTGGAGGACGCGCGGCTGGGCCAGAAACCGCTCCCGAGGGGCCGGCGTGAGCACGGGGCCGACGTGGCCACCTGGGATGAGAGCACAGAGGGCAGAGTTGGGCAAATGGAGCTGGAACAAAGCCATGGTGGGGAAAATGAGACCACCTTTGGGCAGAGCGTGCACCTGGAGGGGGACACTGAGGTGGCAGGAGGTGCTTCCAGCTGGAACGAGACTCTGGAGGACTGTGTCACCCAGAAGCCGGTGGGAGATGGTGGCGCAGGGCAGGAGGGGGGTGTCCCCAAGCAGGAGGAGGCAGGGGAGGGGACAGCCAGGCCTGGGAGTGACCCGACCCCATGGAGTGACCCGACCCAGGGCCCTGCGTGGTGGAACCAGACCACGGTGCCCACGGCCAGGCAGGAGGAGAGAGTGGAAAACGCCGCTGGGCAAAACCAGAGCAGCCGTGATAGGCTCCGTGAGAGCAGCGACCGGGGGAATGTTTCACACACACCTCAGCTCACCCCGATAAACGGCAGCTCTGCCTCGGAGCAGAACGGCGCCAGGATAACGGGAGGAACCTTGTGTCACCGTGGACATTGCCCCTGGCAGGTAACTCTTTCCTTCCAGCCCGCACATAAATACCACACCTGAATCCTTGCTCACTTCAGCATCACGGGTCCCAGCTGGAGCAGAGCTCATCAAGCCATTATCAAGGCTTTTTTTCAGGTGGAGAGCAATCCAGACATATCTATTTCTCAAACTTCTTGATGATACATATCTCAGTTGCCTTATTTATCTTCCTTACCCCATCCCAGATGGCACTTTTGTCATCTCAGCTTCATGCTTCCTCTCTCAACTACATCCACCAGCTCTTCTCCTGCTCCGTTACTCGGCTCCTCTAACTGTCCTTGGTGAAGGCCGTGCCCCTAGCTTCTCTGTTTCTAACTGTCCTTGGTGAAGGCCGTGCCCCTCACTCCTTTCCAAAATGGCTGCTGGGCTTTTTCACTGAAGTTTTTCTATGACCAGGTGAGAGTCTCCATTAGAACCCCACACTTCACACACCTGTTAGGGTGAGGGACAGACAACTGGGAGGGCTCAACATGGGAAGGTGAGTGGCCTGTGGCAAGTAGGGGAACCTCCCTGAAGAGTTTATTTCCACTATCTTGGTTTTGACCTTTTTTGTGTGTTCTTGTTATTAATTTTCACTCATTTCTATTGTTTCTGTTTCTTTGCTGTATTGTCTCTGGGCGTGTGCACAGAACGGTGACAGACTGATCTAAAATCAGCCTGTTTTATTGCTGCCACATGGGACGATGTCCCCACCCCTCAGGTGGCATTTCACAGGTGAAGAATGTGGGGCCAGTGCTGTCACTGTGCACTTTGGCAACTGAAATGTCACCACTAGGAAGCTGTGGGGGTTTCTGCCATCTTATGCACTTCTAGGGGGAACACCAGCTGCTTTCCTTGGGATTTTGGGTGTGAGAAGGGAATGTAGCCCAAACGCTGCCTGACCAGTTTCTTGAAATAAAGCCTTTCCATCAAGGAAGCTTTAAATGTTCATTACTGCAGGCAACTCATAATTGAATCTTGTAAATTTTTTAATATTTTTTTTTAAAAAGCATCTTGCAAACCCTTTCCAATCTAGTTCTTCATAACCTAAGACAGAATTTTCAGGTAATTTTTCTTTGCTACTTGTCAGTGTTTTGTTCTAGTGGTGCTGAACAGAATTAAAAGCGTAATTCATAATTGAATCTTGTATGTTTTTTAATATTTTTTTTTAAAAGCATCTTGCAAACCCTTTCCAGTCTAATTCTTCATAACCTAAGGCAGAGTTTTCAGGTAATTTTTCTTTGCTACTTGTCAGTGTTTTGTTCTAGTGGTGCTGAACAGAATTAAAAGCATCAATAGTACATGGAACTAAGGCAAAATGGCTTGTGTAAAACACGATGCTACTCCAGGGACCAGACCAAGGTCAGAGGCCAGTCCATGTCCTGCCTTTTGCCACTATTTGATTGTTCATTTCATTGAAACAAAATGAAGCTTTTCTTCCAGTTTAATGTGATTCAGGGAGGAGTTTAAGAGCTGCTGAAGCATTAATGGAGCTTATAATTCTGAACAGACAAGACAAACGTCTGTTTTACTGCTCCATTTTCTACTCTGGGGATCAGTCCAAATTTTATTACCAATAAAGGGAAAAAATAACAAAGTGTCTGAATCTCCGCTCTTACTGGCACTTTCACTTGACCACTGGGAAAGGGAACAACTCCTTCCTGTCCCTTGTTCCTCTAGACAAACAGCACTCTTTTCTTTTTCAGCCTGGCTGTACGTACCTGGTGACGCGGTTGTCTCCTCTTTCCTACAGGTTTTGATCCGGAACAGCAAGGGTGTTGGTTTCTGTGGCGGGAGTTTGATCAGCAGCCGCTGGGTGGTCACAGCTGCGCATTGCCTGGACCTTGTCAGCCCACACCATGTCACCCTGGGTGAGTACACACTGTAGTTTGTATAATCACAGGCACTATCTCTTATTTAAATTATGCTTTGTGTTATCTGAAGAGAAACAGACAGACACATCCAACCTGACTCGGAGTTACACATGCTTCTGTTTTTGGCAACAATTAAGTGTGAAGGGGCTCCTTTTTGTGGGGAACCTGGAGTGTAAGGCACAGATTTATCTTTTCCTGTTGCCTGTTTTGGTAAACTCAGTGTGCACATCTCGGGGTGCACCACAGAAGGCAGAGGGACTCCTGTAGGTGATGGTCTTGTGTTGATTTTAAGATGAGTTTCCTGGTGAGCTGCCGGCTCCTCCCCGCCTGTAACTGCCCCCAGGAGGAAGCCCCTCTCCCTCCTCATGTACTACAGGGGGAGCAGGAACCCCTCGCAGCAGGAACACTGCAATAAACACAACTGGCAAAGGGCTGTGCCAGGAGCCAACAGAATACAGCCCTGGGGACTGGCAGGAACAGCTCTTCAGCCTCAGCCATGGCGGCAGCTTAATGCTTGTGTCATGGCCCTGAGGGGAAAAACACAACACCCCCTGGAAGCTTAGACAAACTCTTCAAAATACAGGGCGTGCTAAAAGCCAGTGACAGTATTTATGGTAAAATCCCTCCCGGGGAAGCCATAATCCCTGTCAGTACCTGTTCATCCAGTCAACGCCTTTGTTTTGCCCCTAAAGGGCAAACAGGAATGTGATTCACAGGATCACATCTACAGCGTAAGAAATGACTGTCCCAGAGCACCATGTGGTTTGGTCTGTGCTTTCTCCGTTAACATTTTAACTTGTCACGGCTGCAGGAGACTTTGACAAGTACCAAAGAGAACTCAAAGAGCAGAAGATCGGTGTGGAGCGGAGCTGGACGCATCCCCATTACGACTCCAACGACTACAACGGTGACATCGCCCTGCTGTACCTCAGCAGTGACGTCGTCTTCAACGAGTACGTGCTGCCCGTCTGCCTGCCCAGCCCCAGCCTGGCCACCCTGCTCTCCCAGGAGGGGCGGGTGGGGATGGTGAGTGGGTGGGGGGCCACCCACCAGAGGGGCTCCACTCTGCGCTTCCTGATGAAGGTGCGGTTGCCCATCGTGAACATGGAGACGTGTCAGCGCTCCACGGACAGACTGGTCACCGACAACATGTTCTGTGCCGGTTACGGCAGCCAGGCCGCCGACGCCTGCAAAGGGGACAGTGGTGGCCCTTTCACCATGTCCTACCACAACACCTGGTTTCTCCTGGGCGTGGTGAGCTGGGGCGAGGGCTGTGCCCAAGAAGGAAAATACGGGGTGTACACCAGAGTGTCCAACTACCTCCCCTGGATCAAAGAGACTGTTGAAAGTGTAGCCGCGTCGGAAAACTTTTCCATTAATTTTTCTTAATACTGAATTTAAAACCAGGGACAATTCTGTTGTTACAGGGTGTTTCAGTCTAAGACACTAAGCAGTTCCTGCCATTAACGCTGTGAAATCAAGAAATTGAGTCAATTTACAATGAATGGTTAAATTGTTCATTCAAGTATTACTAAAATACTCGTGTATAATAAAAAACTAGTCTGCAAATAACAAAAGGCAACAACTACACCTTTTCCTAATGTAAATTCCTATCAGAAATTTGGTAATTTTTTTTTTAGAGAAGGAAAAAGCTTTCCATTTCTCAAGCCTCCACACCTATCACCAAACAGTGTGTGAATGAGTTGCTTGGAAAAGGACCAGTGTTTCTGGTACTGGTGTCTGTCTTCTAGTTGTGAAACACCGTGACCACAGCAGTTTTGTCACCAAGTAGAACTGTTACCTCCAGTACAATTAATTTTACTAGAATACAGTTGTCTCCTAATACAAAACCAGCACCTGTAAGGCAAGCTGCCCTGGAGAAAATGTCTGTGCAGGAATGCCCATGGCTGCAGCTGGAGAAGCCTCAGAGAATTGTGAAATAAATAAGTTACTGGGGAGGGGGAGCAAGGTGTCTCCTGTGCCTCAGAAGGAGCCGTTTGCAGTGCACCTCCTGAGGAAAGGCAGGAAGATGAGCCTCACGTGCCCATGCCCCCTCCCTCCCCCCCC